ATATATTGCTACTGTTTAACACAGTCAGTTATGTTTTAGAGTGATAAAAAAGAGAAATTTTATATTTACCTTCATTTTAGCCATTTCCATTGATTTTCACTTCTTTGTGTGTATTCAGGGTTCTTTCTATCTGGTATCATACTCCTTCTGCCTAAAGAATTTCCTTTTAATATTTTGTGTAGTGCATGTCTGCTGGTAGTGGATTCTATTCTTTTGTCAAAAACCAAGTTTTTCATTTTTTTAATAATCATAATTTTCTTTGGTGAGATATAATTTATATACCTTAGTGCTTTTAGTTTTTTCAAAATAATAGGCAACCATTATCACTATCTAACTTCAGAACATTATTATCACCCCCTGAAAAACCCATTCCCATTATTAGTCACTCCTTGCACCTAGGACCTGGCAACCAATTTCTGCATTTTTAAAATATTTTATTTATTTATATTTAGAGAGAGGGTAAAAAGGTAGAAAAAGAGGGAGAGAAACATTGATATATGAGAGAAACATCTATTGGTTGCCTCTTGCACACGCCCAACTGGGGACCTGGCCCGCAACCCAGGCATGTGCTCTGACCAGTGACCTTTTGGTTTGCTAGATGATGCCCAACCACTGAGCCTTACCGGTCAGGGCACACTGTTTGCATTTTTTATAGGTATTTTCACTGTGTTTAGAATTTAGAGTTGTCAGTTTGGGGGGTTTTCTTTCAGCACTTTAAAAAAGTACTTAATTGTTTCTGGCTTTCATTATTTTGAGAAGTCTACTGTAATTTTTGTGGTTTTTGTATTTTTTCTGTTGGTAATGTGTACTTCCACCACAAGTTCATTCCCCAGTGCTTTCAAGATACATTTTTTAAGATTTTTCTCTTTGGTTTTCAGCAATTTAAATATAATATGTATAGGATGTGTGCGTGTGTATGTGTTTGGCATGTTTTCTGAGCTTCTTGGATTCTTTCATAATCTTTGGAAAATTCTCAGTCATTCAGATATTTCTTTGCCACATTTTTTTTCTTTTTATGGGATTCTAAGTACACATGTGTTAGAAAATTTGATATTGTTCATAGTTTTTGGATGTTCTGTATGCTTCATTAATTTTTCTCCATGTTTTACTTATATATTTATTTTTATTTTTCTATTACATTTTATAATATATTTTATTGATTATGTTATTACAGTTGTCCCATTTCCCCACCTTCATTCCCCTCCACCCTGTACACCCCCTCCCACCCACATTTTCTAAGTTCTTTAGCTTCTACATTTCCCATACTACTCTTGCCCTCCCCCTGTCTATTTTCTCTCCACCATCTGTTCTACTTCTTCTCTGTACCCTCTCCCCTGCTCTACTCCTCCCACTCCCCTGTTGCTAACCCTCCATGTGATCTTCATTTCTGTGGCTCCACTCCTGATCTAGCTGTCCACTTAGTTTGCCTTTGTTTTAGGTGTGGTTGTTAATAACTGTGAGTTTGCTGTCCTTTCACTGTTCATCGTTTTTATCTTCTTTTTCTTAGGTAAGTCCCTTTAACATTTCATATAATAAGGGCTTGGTGATGATGAACTCCTTGAATTTGATCTTATCTGAGAAGCACTTTATTTGTCCTTCCATTCTAAATGAAAACTTTGCTGGGTAGAGCAATCTTGGTTGTAGGTCTTTGGTTTTCATGACTTGGAATACCTCTTTCCAGCCCCTTCTTGCCTGTAAGGTCTCTTTTGAGAAATCAGCTGACAGTCTGATGGGAACTCCTTTGAAGGTGACTGTTTCCTTATCTCTTGCTGCTTCTAGGATTCTCTCCTTTGTTTTAATCTTGGCTAATGTAATTATGGTGTGCCTTGGTGTGTTCCTCCTTGGGTCCACCTTCTTTGGGACTCTCTGAGCTTCCTGGACTTCCTGGAAGTCTATTACCTTTACCAGACTGAGGAAGTTCTCCTTTATTATTTGTTCAAATAAGTTCTCCACTTGTTGCTCTTCCTCTTCTCTTTCTGGTACCCCTATAATTCGGATGTTGGAATGTTTAAAGATGTCCTGGAGGTTCCTAAACCTCTCCTCATTTTTTTGAATTCTTGTTTCTTCATTCTATTCTGTTTGGTTCTTGTTTCTTTCTTCTGGTCCACTCCATTGATTTGAGTCCCAGTTTTCTTTCCATCACTGTTGGATCCCTGTGCATTTTCCTTAATTTCACTTAGTGTAGCCTTCACTTTTTCATCTAATTTGTGACCTAAATCAACCAGTTCTGTAAGCATCCTGATCATCAGTGTTTTGAACTGTGCATCTGATAGGTTGGCTGTCTCTTGGTCACTCAAAAATAGTGGCTCTGGGGCTTTGATTTGTTCTGTTTGAGCCATAATTTTTTGGTCTGGTAGTGCCTGTTATGTAGTGAGGGGTGGAGCCTTAGGTGTTTACCAGGGCAGGGCAACCCAGTTGCTGGGTTGTGAAGGTGTCTGTGGGGGCGAGGTCAGAGAGGGAACAATGGCACTTGTTCTGCTCTCTCTCGAATTTCAATCCCCTCTGGCGCTTCCCAGAAGCAAATTGGGCCCTTCTGGTGCTCATTCCTGGGTGGGTGGGCTTGTGTACATTCTAGGACCCTGTGGGTCTCTCCAACAAATTCTCCTGTGAGGCTGGGAGTCTCTCCTTGCAATCAGTGCTTTTAGGCTTTCCCATCGCTGGGGCCCTGGGTTGTGTGGTCTGTCTTACTGCACGTTTTTGCCTGGTTTATGTGTGCATGAATGTGTGACAGCGGTCAGCCAGCCGCCTTGTGCACCTCACTGTTTTTGCTCATTTCCTCCCTGCACCCGGGGTCTGCTAGTCCCAGTGCTGCCTGTGCACTGGGGTCTGCCAGCCACTGCCTTTTCCTACGGCGACCCTTCTCTGCTAGCTGCAGACTCCACCTCTCTTACTGGTCTGGATGAATGGTTGTCAGACTCTTGTACAGTTCAATTTTCTGTCTGTTCTGGTTGTGTTTTTGTTTCAAATCTTTGTTGTTCTTAATTTTGCACATGTCCTTAATTTTGTTGTCCTTTGTTGTCCACAGTGTTTCCTCCTATGCCTCCATCTTGGCCAGAAGTCCTTTTTCTCTATGTTTTAATCTGGAATTTTTATTGACCTGTGATTCTTTCTAATTTTGCCCAAATTTCTTAACTATTCATGCATAAAATCTACATTTTCTACAAGAGGCTTTAACTATCAATTAACTTTAAATTCCCTGATACTTTTAGCAGTTAGGAAATATAATCTCTTGAGCCTGATTTTGTTGATTTCTTTATCTCTTGGCAGTTGATTGGTTGTTGTTCTTTTTATTGTTTTTGGCTTAGCTTTTTTTTATGTGTGTTATAACTTTTGATTGATTGCCATTGTATGGATACCCTTTTCCTTCTATTAGTCCATTAACATGTGAGACTGAGTGGATCTTGTCAGCTGAACTGGATTTGGATTTTGTATTTATGATTACCTTGTTTGCCACTGGTTTTAAATTTCTCTGGTGTCACCTTGTGTTTATAGTAAGGGTTGATTTTCCAGAGGGTTTTCCTCAGTTGCTCTGCTCCCTTCAGTCCTAGTATTTCTTTCGATCTTGTGCCTCAGAGAGGATCTCCCCATGCTCTCACCCCTTATCCAGAATTAGATAATTCACTTGGTGTCACCAATCTGAAGAGGGATGGAGAGTGTTCTCTCTTATCATCATTCAGCCTCAGTCTTAAGCAGAACTTTACCATGAACTCTCATTCTTCCTCAGTGATCTTGCTCCTTCCCCAGGTGAGTAGAGGATTTTTTTCTTTTACCCTTCCCCAGCCTCAGTGAGTCTTTATCTGTATCTTAAGGGTGATAGGGTTTATTACCCTTCCCGGGTCTCTAAGGCTTTTATTCCTTAGAGCAGGGGTGTCAAACTCATTTTCACTGGGGGCCACATCAGCCTTGAGGTTGCTTTCAAGGGGTGGAATGTAATTTTAGGACTGTATAAATGTAACTACTCCTTAACAGTTAAGTAAGAGTTTGGTGCTTCCACCATGTAGAAACAAGGTGCCAGGCTGAATAAAACAAGGTGGAGGGCCAGAATCAGCCCATGGGCCTTGTGTTTGCCACCTGTGCCTTAAAGGAATAGTGGTCAGGTAAAGCTTCATGCCTTTCCCGAAGCAGGAGAGCTTCCCTCCTCTAGGCATGCATCAGCAAGGAAGGCTTTCTCTGGTCTCCTGCCTTGCCCCCAGTCTTTCCTAATAACAACTCAGAGGTCTGTGGAGAAGAGTCTACAAGCTGATGCAAATGCCCCTGATGTCTGTGGTTCCCAGGGATTGTATACTCTCAGGCTAGCCCACACTTTGCATTTAGCAATTTGATAATAATTTTATCTGAATTCTTATCTACTATATGAAGGACTTGCCTTCCTCATGTTGCCACTGGTAAGCCAGTGCCTGTGTCTGATCTCCCTGTGGAGGCCCCTGTCTTTGCATGAAGTTCAGGCTAATTGGTTGCTCTGTGACCTCAGTTCTCTAATTAATTTAAGAAAAGTTATGATTTGATAGATTATCTAGCTTTTTGTCTTACTAAGGTGGAGGTGACATTCTTTCTAGCTTTCTATATTCTAGGCCTTGAATTGAATATCAAATGGCAAGTAGGAATTGGTGTGATAAGATAGGGTAGGAAGGACATTGCGGACAGGGTAATGTTGTTTCAGCAAGATAGTGGGAACAAAATTGCATGGTAGCTTCATTGACAAACAGCAGGTTCAGATTAACATTATAAGTGAAAGCTAGAATCATGGGCCAGATTATAGAAAGCCTGAATGCCAGATGAAGGTATTAAAGTGTATTCTGAAAGCAATGAAAGAGCCCTAAGTCTATATATATAGCTTTGAATGATATTTGCCACCAACCCTCTTTCCTTTAAAAGGCAGTTAATAATCATGGGCTATTACTTCTAAAATGATTGTAGTGCTCTTAAGTCTGTAGTAGTGTCCAACCTGCATGTAGAAGAAAGCTGCCAAATGTCTTATCTGCCCATGTAATTCCTTCCAGTCTGGCAGCATTGGTGCTGCATACAGTCCTGAGGACTGGGAGAAAGTCTGGGACAACTGGAGGCCGCTAACAATGGCTGGGATCTTTGACTGCTGGGAGCCACCAGAGGGAGGAGACTGCCTGTATTCCTACACTATCATCACAGTGGATTCCTGCAAAGGCTTGAATGACATTCACCATAGGCAAGTCACACTTCTTATCCATGGGTCCAAAAGGATTCATGGAAGGGTTTGTTCTCTTTGCCTTTTAGATAGGTTGATTTTGGAATGTAAATTTTCTATATGTACAAATTTAGACAGTTGGAAACTAAGACAGTTGCTTTGCAAAATACAGTTAATAGTCGTTTTGTCTCCCTGTTCACCTAACCCAGATGCTCCAAAGGTGTCCCTTGTGTGGGTTGTATGTGTTCTTTTATTGTAGTTGACCCTTCATTGCTGTTGCCACATCAGTGAGTAGACTTGACTCACAAGTTGACTGGCTGAAGAATGTGATCACAGTGGATGAGCCCTTGCGGTGTGCGGGCATGATGCACTTTAGCAGGGCTCTCATGCCCAACAAGCCCACACCTTTGGGTGCTACTCTGGTGTTATCTGAAGCCAGCCACCAAGTGTGTTGGTTCTGGGGATTCTTGGGAGGGACTCTGATGCAGGCCAACATTAGTCACTGCCTGTGTCCAGCCTGGTAGGAGTTACAAAGTGATTTGCATTTGGTAGCTGCCTGTACTGGGCTTGAAGGATCCTAGGGTCCTTGGATGCTGTGAACCCAGGCTAGTGCCAAGGTTGGGGTCACTTTGCAAGAGGTACAGGGCACGCCAAGACCAGCGCTGCTTGTAGACTTGTAGACTTTTTTTTTTTAAAGATTTTATTTGTTTATTTTTAGAGAGAGGGGAAGAGAGGAAGAAAAGAATTAATGTGTGGTTGCCTCTCACACACACACCACTCCCACACTGGGACCCTGGTCTGCAACCCAGGCATGTGCCCTGACTGGGAATCGAATTGGTGACCCTTTGGTTCTAAGGCCTGCAGTCAGTCCACTGAGCCACACCAGCCAGGACAGGGATTTATTGATTTGTGAGAGATTTTAGGGAAGTCTATGGCACAGGCCAGGCCTTTGCATTGAGACAGTGTCTCAGAGAATCCCCAGCATGGGGCAATAGCAGTGTTATCCAAGTTAATTGAATTTCAGATTTGGCATCTGTCCAGCTATTTGAGCTGAAGGCTCAACAAAGGAAAAATGTCACCTGCTGGCATTTTAGTCCCAGACATAGCTGCTCCTCCAGCCCTCTCCTTGAAGTCAGACAGTTTAGTTCCTCTGTATGTCCTTGGTGTTTTTGAACTGCTGTCCCTTCTGCTGAGCTTAGGGCAAGTATTTATGAACAAGTGACTCTATGTGCAGACCCTTTAAAATGATACCCAGGTCTACAGCAGGCAGCCCCTCATCTCACCTGCACTGAGTTCCTGCTGATTCTCATAGCCAGCTGTTGTGGTGACTCCTTTTCCCAGCACTGCTTCTCAAGGGCTGGGAAGCCATGTGTGGGCCTGACACCCTTTGCCCCTCAGTGGGAACCTCCACAGTCAAGATATCCCTCCCTATTCTTAACCACTACACATAAGTGTGTGGCCTGCTCATTTCTACCCCTGTTGCCATTCTTGAGGTTGCTACTTTATGTCCTTACTTATGGGAGTTCTATATATCCTTAGTTATGGGAGTTACAGTATTCAGGTGGTTCTCAAGGGTGGTTGTCCTAAATTTAGTTCTAATTTTGTCGTGGTCGTGAAGGGAGGTAAGCGTAGTGTTTACCTACTTCCTGTAAAATATTTTTTAAGTATGTTCAATTTTTTTGAAGTGAGAATAATGATTAAAATAGACATTTATGCATTTGTCTCCTAAAATCAGCCACTCACCAATGAAGTATGTACAATGCTCTGCATTGCCCTGGGACAAGGATGTCAAACTCATTTTCACTGGGGGCCACATCAGCCTTGCAGTTGCCTTCAAAGGGCCGAATGTAATTTTAGGACTGTATAAATGTAACTACTCCTTAACAGTTAAGCAAGAGCTCGGCGCTGCCGCCAGGTAGAAACAAGGGGCTAGGTCGTATAAAACAAGGTGGAGGGCTAGATTCCGGCCATGGGCCTCATGTTTGCCACCTGTGGTCTAGGACATAAAACTAGAAGCCAAATAAAGGATCTTTTTTTTAACATCTTCCTGGGTACCAGGAGTCATCTTACAGCCTCTTTGCTTTCAGAGGCATAGTTTTCTCTTGTTCAGAATTGTGTGAATAAGTCTTGCTTACTGTAAAGCTGTCATAGGATATAAAACTGGAGATTATTGTTGGTATACACGTTTTCCAGGATCTATTTCTCTTTTAATTCTAGGTTGGTGCATCATAGAAAAGTCACCAGTTTGCTAATGTGTGCACTGGAGTGCACTGGGTCCACTCATAATTACTATTCACTGTTTTTGCCATAAAGCTTTATAAATTGGCTCTTCTAGTGCTGAATTTTGTGCCCTGTTAAGTCAGGGAGCATATGGTAGCAATCAGTATGTGAAGCATAGAGGGAGGGCAAGCTTCTACTTTTAGTGATTTGTGCTATCAACTGATTCAAGTCTCTCTCCTTTCTCTCCCTACCCTCACTCTGCCTCTTTTAACCAATGTCTTGACCTCACTGGCTAGGATGCCTGCCATATTAGATGGAGAGGAAGCAGTTTCTAAATGGCTTGACTTTGGTAAAATCTCAACTCAAGAAGCTCTGAAGTTAATCCACCCCACAGAGAACGTCATCTTCCATCCTGTCTCCCATGTGGTGAACAACTCCCGAAACAACACTCCTGAGTGTCTGATCCCTGTGGACTTACTGATCAAAAAGGTAGGGGCTTGTAACTCTGACAGTCCTTTTTGAGTTTTCTTCTGTCACTTTAGCATTTTCTTTTAGGATATGGCCTTTTACAAGCATAGCTTTCATTTAAACCACTCAAAACTCATATTCATTTGTTATGGCAAGGGTGAGCAGAGCAGTGATTCAAAGCTGGCTGTGCCCTGGCTGTTGTGGCTCAGTTGGTTGGAACATTGTCCAGTACACCAAAAGGTCATGGGTTCAATTCCCAGTCTGGTCATATACCTAAGTTGCAGGTTCGTATGGGACATAGCCAATCGATGTTTCTCCCCCCTCCCTCTTTCTCTCTCTCTAAAATCAATAAAAAAATATTTTTGGATGAGGACTTAAAAAAACAAAGCTGGCTGTAACTCACAGTCTTCAGGATACCTCTTTTGAAACATAAATGCCAGATTCTATCTAGATACAGTGAGTCGATCAGTATTCAGAAGTGAGCCTGGACTTTTCTACCACTGAGAAGCTCTTGGTGAGTCTGGTAATAAATCAAGTTTGGGGACTGCTAATATAGAGGGTGACTGTGAGAAAAACCAAAGGAGCCCTTGACCATAATTACATCTCTGTCTATAACCAACTGTATTATTTTTTTTTAGATTTATTTATTTTTAGAGAGGAGAAGGGAGGGAGAAAAAGAGGGAGAGAAACATCAGTGTGTGGTTGCCTCTCGCACGCCCCCTACTGGGAACCTGGCCTGCAACCCAGGCATGTGCCCTGACTCGGAATTGAACGAGCAATCTTTTGGTTTGCAGGCTGCCACTCAATCCACTGAACCATACCAGCCAGGGCCAACTGCATTATTTTTGATGTCTCTTCTCTGTACCTCTGCTTTCCCAACCACAAGAAGAAGTTCCAATCCTTGTTCTGCTTCAGGACAATTTGAGAACATTTCTGCCAAAAACTTTAACTTCTTAGAATCGGTAAGGATCCTGAAGATATATGTCAAAGGGAAGGTAAACAAGTGTTTGCATCTGCACTGGGGAGAGGAGCTCCAGAGTGAAATACTGGCCCCTACTGACATTCAGAGGTAAACGTTTTAGAGTCACACAGTTTTTAGGTGACCTAGAGGGATCTGAAGCAGGACATAACTCTGAGCATGCCAAGAACAGGCATCTTAGAATGCCTGAGCAGTGTTAAGGACAATGATTACAAGAACAGCTACTCCTGCCACACCCCTATTTTTCGTTAAGTTTTCACACCCACAGTCAGTGTCTTTTTTTTTTTGCTCCCATTTCTCTGCATACTCCTACAACCCTGATACTTTTTTTTTTATTAGATGTTTCTAAAAATCATTCATTGTACACTAGACACTGTCCCACCGCAGGCATGAACTTTAACCTCAACAGAATTTACATTCTGGAGAGGTGGCATTATGTGAATTCAGAACCCTCAGTTTAGGGTGGGGTTGCAGGTAAGAGAAGTAGAAGAGAAGTGCCAGGCAAGAATAGGCTGTATAGAGGGGCTGGCTGCATGGTAGGAAACAGCCTATTCAACCTTAGGTTGAATCCCTAATTATGGAGGCTATTTGAAGCCTATCTCTCCACCTTCACTTCCTAACTCTCTGCCTGGTCACTAAATTATATTCTTTTCCCTGAGAATGCTTCATTCTCTGCATGTTTGAATGCCTGTCAGTGCTCTTCTCTGAATGGCCTCACATACCTCTGAGAAGCTTTCTCTAAGATCTACTCCTTACCCTCTGTACCCCTTGGAGCACACTCAGTTGTTCCTTTCTTGCCTCTTCTGACTAGTGAGCCCTATCTGGCCCTCAGTAACATTTTCTAGTAGGGAAAGAGGCATCAGTACCTCATGCCCCTTGGAGTTGTCCTTTTCCCAAAAGCTTAAGCTGAATGGGTTGAGCTTTTTTGTCTTTTTCCTAGGAGCTGAAGGCAAGTGGCAGCAGCCAGAAGATGTTGCAGTGGCTGGCCACAAAGTCACCCAAAAAGGAAAACCCCGAAACATCCCAAAAGGCAGAGTCAGATGTGCCCCAATGGTCCAGCCAGTTCCTGCAGAAGAGCCCATTCCCCACCAAGAGAGGTAGTGCTAAACTCCTGGAACAATGGCTGAAGAAGGAGAAAGAGGAGGAGCCAGTGGCCAAGAGGCCTCACAGCCAGTAATGCAGGGCTTTGAGAGCCCAAGGTCATGGTTTGCTGCACTGAAGACTATTGCTCATGACAGATTCTTGCATTGAGTGTATGAATTTGCTTTGGGAGGAGGTAGCCCGGTGCTAATTAACAGCTGTGGGTTTATTGGGGAGTGGCTATCCTGTCTGTGACCAAGAACCCACAATGGGGCAGCCTAGGAAGGGGAGGGTCCACCTCCATCAACTCATAGGGGTTCATTATGCCTGCATTCTTCTTTTGGTAGGACTGATTGGAGCCTTCCCTCAAAGCCTGACCCTGCCAGCAGTTCTTAGCACCAACCTTACCTGGTACTGCTAGTAAAAGGCCACTTTCTACTCAACCTTTGGACTCTTTCTGTCTTTTGGAATTGAGTTCTTAATACGTATTTTTTTCTGATTAAATTATATTTGATAAACGTCTATATTTCAGAAAATGCTATTCGTGGGGATAGTTTTGGATCTTACTATTTTGGGCTTTCTGTGGACAAAACTGCTTTTTTGGAAACAATAAAAAAGACTAGGTGCAGGGTTCTTCATTGAGTCTCTTTTCTCTAAATTTTGGAAGTTGTCTGAATCCTGTAGCTTAAAACCTACTTGAATGCCTGCCTGCCAAACACAGGGGACTGGGGGTAGAATGGGGTACAGAGGTCAAGACCCTGTCCTAACACAGGGAGCTAGAGTCTGGGTGAGGAGAAATCCCAAAGTCATAGCCCTCCAAGCCCTATGCAGATCCCCAGCCTCTGGGTAGAGCAGGGCACAGAGGATGACTTGGTCTTGTGGTACAGGTGGGAGTTGGCCATCTGTCTGTACCAGCCTGGTCAGAGACTCTATAATTTGTTCTGTAAGCTACTCCTCGGCACTGAATCACTTTATCATTAGCTAGTTAGTTATTTGGGGTAGTTATCTATTGTCCCTCTGTCACCCAGATCATTAATTCCATGAAAGCAGAGACCGCTTTTTCAGTTTTGTTTTCTCGGTGTTAACTGTAGGTGTGCAAATATTTGTTAAATGAATGTGAGCAGTTATTACATGTCCTGCCCTCTTGTAGGCAAGGAGCCACAGGCATTAACTAGATGCCACACCTGGCAATTAAGCACACATGTGAGTGCACATGTGTGTGCCCCCCAATCAGGCTGTGTTTTGCCAGGAGAGAGCCTTCCTGGGTGATTAGCTTTTAACTGTTTGGAACATTCAGGCCCTGCAGAATGCTGTCCTGTGCTGCTGTGTGGAAGCAGGCTCTGAGCCAAGTGGAGGGCAGGCTGCACCACCACCACCACCAGATCTCTGGAGGGGCTCTGGCTGAAGCCCTTTGCAAATCAGGGGTCAATGTCTTCACTAATCAGAGGGCAGTTCCAGTACCTCTTGGCAGAGGTGAGAGGAGGGAGGTATCTGGCTCCAACACTTGCAGTGACTTCCACCTACTGTGCCTTGTCTCTAAATTTATCTTTAGATCACCATTCCAGGTGAGGAGGTGAGATCACCCTGGTGGTGGTTTGTACTCAAGAACCTTTCACTGAAGGTCAGGGGTGCTTTGCTTTGTAGCCTCCGGTTTTGTTTGAGCTGATTTGCTGATTTGGTGGTATTACTGAGAGACTTTAAAAATACATATAACTTACCAGAAGGTTGACTGTTAGGACTTTTGTCATATTTGCTTCAGGTTTAGTAAACAACAGATATGAGATTCCCTTTATTTTTCATTACTATTTTCCCATTGTCAGGGTTGTAAGTCAGTTTGGCAGGGTCTTTTCATTTTAATTAGAAGGAATAGAATGTTCTCAGCAGTGTGTTCTTTTCATTTAAATTTTTATACTTTCACATAAATGTGATGTTAAAAGCATATTCTTATATCTGAGAACATGTTTTGTGATTTTAGGTTTACATAAATGGTATCTTGGACATTTCATTCTGCAATTTTCTATCTGTGTTATCAGCTGTACTAGGTATTGCCAGTTGCTCTCTAAATTTTTACTTATTTCATGAGAATGTGAATCCCCATTTTCCCACCTTTTGCTAATACTTAATCTTGCTTACCAGACCAATGGAGTATCTAATCCTGTTCTTTGTTTTTTTTAAGAACAAATCTCAGGAACAAACAGGACAGCCTTTACCTCCCTGTCTGGGTATAGCCAAGTCAGGCTGGGCCTGAGATTTTCTGGGGCAATTGGGACTGTCTGGCCCCTGAACAGGGCTCCCAGATGGCAGTTCCTCTTCACCCTCCCATTCTATGGGTGCAGTGACCAGGCTTAATTTTAGGCCTAATTTAGGGGATTCTTTACTACTTTGTAGTTTCAGAGGAGGCAGAAGCACCCCAGTATTCCAGATCTTAATAGAGAAGTACTGCCTTCCACTCCTGTCTGCAGTACATCTGGATACATCTAGTACAAAGCTTGTGTGCCTAAAAGCCCATCCCTGCTTTGTACAGACCCAGGCAAGGGAGAGGTTCGACCAAGGCCACACAGTTTGGCATAGGTATATGTTAAGGAGAAATCCAAGGGGTTCATGATTTAGGAGGAGTGTTTAAGCTTAGTTTGGACAAGATTCTGCTTGTTGTAGGAAAGCCCAGAGGGCAGGTTGGCAGTGGGCACCCGAGAGAGTAATGGGTGGCCTCAGACTCCTACCCACCTGGGCCTGTACACCCTCCATCCTCTCAATCTGAGGAAGGGTCAAATGATGGGAAAGTGGAATCTCCTTCCTTGGAAAGGAGCTTTGACTTAGGCTATATAGGAGGGTTCCTAGTACATGTAAAACTGAGCAAGTCCTTTGTTTCCCCATCTCTAAATCAGGAGAGTGGATGCTCACAATTGAACTCTCAGGAACCCATAAGAACAGGTGCTGGTTTTGAAGAACCAAAACCTACCTTGGGTCTAGTGTCCCTCATGTGGAGATGGATGAGACCCTCCTTATTTCCAAGGACTCCAGAGAGAAGATGCATGCTGCAGGCTCTATGGGCAAAACTCCCAGTGGGAAGCAGAAGCTAGGACTCTTTGGAGGAGCTGGGGTATCAGTGAAAGGAATTGGACAATCAAGCTGAACAACACAAAAAGTTCTAAATGGCAGCCCCGGTGTGGAGATAGTCACAAGAAAGACAGGAGCTGGGAGAGAGGCAAGATAAGGTAGATCAGAAAAGGGGCCTCTGGAAGTACGTATGTGGAGGGTGCATTGCGCAAGGGTATTGGAGAGGTTGTTAACCTTGTTGCAGAATATCAGGATCAGAAGGCTGGGTCTCTGGCTTTTACTCATGTTATTCTTTGTCTCCTTCAGAACATCATTATCCAGGGCTTCTTGTGAAGCAACCAGAAAGGCCTTCACAGAAGATCAAGTTGAGTAATCTCAAAGGGGAGACTGCAGGCCACATTGAGCTCACACATGATTTTGTTTGGCCCACACAGTATTTATTCTTAATTGTGGAAAAATACACATAACATTTGTATTTACCGCCTTAACCATTTTTAAATGTACAGTTCAATAGTGTTAAGTATGTTCAAATTGTTGTCCAACCAATCTCCAGTTTTTCATCTTGCAAAACAAACTTTGCCTGTTAAATACTAACTCTCTATTTCTCCCTATCTCTAGCCCTAGAAACCACCATTTGACTTTCTATCTCTAGGAATTTGATTAGATATTTCATATAAGTGAATCATACATTATTTGTCTTTTTGTGTCTGGTTTATTTCAGTTAGCATATTGTTCTCAGGATTTATCCATATTGTAGCTTATGTTGGATTACCTTCCTTTTTTTTTTTTTTTTTTAATCCTCACTCCAGGATATGTTTTCATTGATTTTTTTTTTTTAGAGAGAAACATCACTGTAAGAGAGAAACATTGATTATTTGCCTCCTGTGTGCACCCTGACCATGGATTGAACCTGCGAATGTATGCCCTGACTGGGAATTGGACCCACTACCTTTTGGTGTATGGGATGACATTGCAATCAACTGAGCCACCTGGCCAAGGCAGAATTTCCATCCTTTTTAGGGCTAAATAATATTCCACTATAAGGATATACCACATTTTCTTTATCCATTCATCCCTCATTGGACACTTGTGGTACTTCTACCTTTTGGCTATTGTGAATAATGCTGCTGTGAACATAGGTGAACGGATAACTCTTTGAGACCCTCCTTTCAATTCTGTTGGGTATATATCTAGAAGTATACACCCAATTGTATTGTATGATTGAGGAATTGCTTGATCATACGGTAATTCTATGTTTAATTTTTTTAGAAACTACCATAATGTTTTCCATGGCTGTATGATCTTACATTGCTACCAGCAGTGGACAAGTTTTCCACTTTCTCCACATCCTCACCATTTGTTTTGATCTGGTTTCCCTTTTATAATAGCCAACCTAATAGGTGTGAAAGAGAATATTTTGTTTTTTAAGTCCACATTTTAAAAGTGGGAGGTTTCACACACACAAAAAGTTTATAATTTCTTTTTTTTTTAATTAATTAATTTTATTTAGTTATTTTTCAAGTACAGTTTTTTGTCTATTTTTCCCATCCCAGCCTCCCCCGCCCCTTGCTCCCCACCTCCCTCCCATTTCCACCCCCCTTAGTTCTCATCCCTGTGTCCTTCCTATTTGTTCCTCCAAATCCCTCCCCCCTTTTTCCCTTAACTTCCCTTCCTTCTCCCCCTCTGGTCACTGTCCCCTTGTTCTCTATTTCAGTGTCTTTGGTTTTTTTTTTTCTGCTTGCTTGTTTGTTTTGTTGTTTAGCTTCCTGTTAAAGGTGAGATCATATGGTATTTGTCTTTCAGCACCTGGCCTATTTCACTCAGCATAATGCTTTCCAGTTCCATCCATGTTGTTGCAAAAGGTAGTAGTAGCTCCTTCTTTCTCTCTGCAGCATAGAATTCCATTGTGTATATGTACCACAATTTTTGGATCCATTCATTTACTGATGGGCACCTAGGTTGCTTCCAACTCTTTGCTATTGTAAATTGTGCTGCTATGAACATTGTGGTGCATAGGTTCTTTGAGATTGATGTTTTAGGATTCTTAGGATATAATCCCAGCAGTGGAATTGCTGGGTCAAAAAGCAGGTCAATTTTTATTTTTCTGAGAAAATTCCATACTGTTTTCCATAATGGTTGTACCAGTCTGCAATCCCACCAACAGTGAACTAAGGATCCCTTTTCCCCACAACCTCTCCAACATTTGTTGTTTGTTGCTTTGTTTATGATAGCCATCCTTACTGGTGTAAAGTGGTATCTCATTGTGGTTTTAATTTGCATCTCTCTGATAGCTAACGATATTGAGCATCTCTTCATGTGTCTCTGAATGTTCTGTATGTCCTCCTTGGAGAATTGTTTGTTCAAGTCCTTTTCCCATTTTTTAATTGGGTTGGGTTATAATTTCTATATAAAAAATTCTGAGAGGTACTTCAGATGACTGAGCCTCATGTGGGACCACTGCCATGCTAAGGCATACTATCTATGCCTTTCTAAATGGCCCAAGCCTTTCCCCTTGCCTCTGGAGAGGGGACTTTAAACATTTCATGAGGTGCTTCTGACACAGTCTGAAAAAATGGGAAGCTCTTGCCATACTAAACCACGTGCTGCCTGGCAACAATCAGCAAGAATGGGTAGTTACTGTCCCAATTCAGGTGGAGTCCCAATTCAGGTGGAGTCTGTGTCTTCCAGATGGCCAGACTACACTGTCTGGCCTGGTATCTTTGCACCTCTGAGTTTGAAACCTGGTCTAGTCTCTTCTCACCCTCATCTCACACACACACACACACACACACACACACACACACACACACAATGGGGAACTGTGATGTCTGTCAACTCATCTAGGTTGAGCTACATTTTCCAGAACTCTCATACTTTGTTTCTTTTCAGTGTGGGCTACAAGGCAGATACTTGCCAGATTTGGAAGGAAGCAACCATTTTTGTTGTTGATCTGCTGATGTACCTTCCTGGTGTAAAGCAGCACCTAGGCCTTCTCAGTCTTTTTTACTCCTCAACCAATTGTGTGCATGGTTAGCTCTGTGATGAAGGGCCTCAGCTTCTGCAGAATACCCTCATCACCGAGATATTCAGAGACAGCCAAGCCATAACAGTCCATCCTAGGGTTCCAGTTTTTGCTAGTGAGTTTCAGCCTGCTCATGATCTTCACCTCCTGACTGAGCACCTCAAGCTCCAGTATCAGTCACAGAGATTCGGCCTTACCGAAATTGCTTATTCAGTCCCACAATTGTGCAGGGCAGTTCCCTGAAGCAAATACTACATAGGTGTATGCCTACATCCCTTCTGGTTCTGCTTCTCCATTGATCTTCATGGGAACCTAAAGCTCCGCTAACTATTCCTGCCTCATGATCTCTGTTTTCTCACTGCTTTTACCATTCCCCAAACTCAGGAGCTTTTTTCAATCCTGGGGACCTGTGCTAGTGCTACTCCAACCTGGAGTGTCCCTGCCCAGAAGTTGCTAATTTATCATCCTCCTGCTGCACATGGCTAAGCTCCTCCAGGACAGGCAGCAAATCTGATAAGTCTGCAAGTGTCACTGCCTTCATTTTTCAAGTGTATGTGGCACCAGTAGCAGTTGCTGCCTCATGACTGGTGGAGCTGCCTCTGGCCCCACCATCCAAGATCTGATACCTGGGACACTGAGATTTCCGTACCCTCATGCTCAGTGCTCAGACCTTCCAACAGGTCTTGTACTCAGCACTAAGCCCTGCCATGGTAGAGGAAGAGTTTCAGCTAGGTTGGTCCACAACAGTCAATTGGATGAATTGCTGAAGCTGCACAGCCTGGTAAGTAGCTTTTCCAGTACTGGCGGAGCTGCCCTCCAGCCACAGAGTTGGATCTAGGGACCCAGAAAGTAGAACTTAGGAGATTCAGTGAGATGTGGGGTAACAGGAGGACAGAGCACTACATCTAGGGGTATGCAAGGGTCGGGGGCAGGAACATCTTGGCCAGAGGCAGTGTGTTCAGACCCTCTCTGGTTAGCAGATGAGTAAAAGAAATCTTTCTTGGCTCTACTTATAGATGAAGAAACTGAAGCTTGGGGAGAACAGTCTTTCCCCAGACCAGAAGACCATAGGGGAGATAGGCCCAGAACACTGACCTCAGCCTCCAGGACCTGGTCACATTAGACCTACCTCTCTGATACAGTGGATGCTGAGAGGTGCACCACCAGCCTGAGCCATTGCTGTCTTGTCCTTTACCTCCTCACTGCACTTGAGTCACCTCCCCTACGCATCCCTCCTCCTGGCCTTGCAGTATACTGTGCCTTCAATATTCATATTCATCTGGACTTGAGGCTCCGTGAAACCAAGTCCAAGAGACACAGTAGGTAAATGGTGTATCCTGGGTGCCCCAGCTCCATACAGGAGGTCAGAGTGGTGTCAAGGCAGAAAATAAGCCTCCCACTCTCAGCACCCACACCAGTAAGATGAATTTTTGAACTCCTCACTGGGGCTGTCATGAAGCTGAGTGAGGCCTGTGCACACTGAATGTTCACATGGGGCTGAGTGGCCATCCATCTTTCAACTTAGGGTGCATATCAGACATGTAGGATCCACCCACAGAACTGCAGCTCTGCTGAAGTGAGTAAGCTGCAAAGAGAAGAGGGGAGGGGCCTGTGAGTACAGAGTGGGACACTGAAGGGGTGGTTTTAGGGGAAGAGCAATTTGAAAAGATGAAAAGGTCCAGGATATGAGCATGGGAAGGTAAAGTGAGTCAGAGGAATGAGAGACATTGCAAGTAATGGAAACTCAATTCAAACTAGCTTATTTAAAAAGCAATGTAACAGTTCACATGGCACAGGTCTAAACTTGCCTCAGGCATGGCTGAATCTAGAGGTTCCATTCATATTCTCAGGCTTCTGTCCATTTTTCAGTTCCAACGTTCTGTCTTGGATCCTTTTTCAGGTGGGCTCTCCCTATATGTTGATTTAAAAAAGCCACTGATAACTCTGGCCACATGTACTACCCTTTGTGATCCCAGGAGAAAAGAACAGTCTCAGTAGTTCCAGGAAAAGACCCAGGACTTTCAGTGAACCCACTGGGGTTATGAACCCATTTCTGACCTAGTCATTGTGGCAAGGTGAACTGACAACCCTTATTTACTGCATCTTTGGGTCATGCAACCATATGCAGGACTGAAGGAATCATACTCCCAGAACCATGGGGCCTGGAGTAGGATAGGCTGAGTCTCCAGAGAAAAATTATTCTTTATTATCAGAAGAGTGGGAGACCTACACCAAGGGCTAGTCCAGTATATGCTCCAGTGCTCCTGGAAGAGGCAGCTCTTAGGGTGAAGTAGACAGCAGGCCAGGGGCCCAGGTGATCAGGGGAACAGAGAGGTGGAGACAGGGTAGAGGAGTACCACATCATCAAAGAGGGAGGTCACTAGGAGAACAGGGAAGTATGAGCAGCAAAGGGAGAATTTTGGTGGGAAATATGGGAAGGCATAAGAAGGATGACCTGAAGGACATTTGGGGTGTCCTAGTGCTCATGGGATGTTCTCAAAGGAGACAGCAGGGTGGGGGGCTTTGGTTAAGTAACGCTCCAAGAAGGAGATGAAACTGAATTGCTAGGCAGGAAGGAGCAATATGCAATGCAAGTGTCAGACCCTTGCAGAACACCTTCACAACCCTCTCTGAACCTTAGGGCCACCTGGGAATTGGTCAGAAAGCCAAATTCCAGGCCCCAGACCCAGATTCCAAGTTGGACAATTAGAGTGAGCCCGAGGCATCTAGGCTGGATTTCTGGTTTAGGGAAAGAGTGATCTGAGGGGTCATTTAATTTATCAGGAACACTATGCCCCAGAATCCTGGGTAGGCTGAGGCCTCTAGCTGCTGTCCTATTTACTGGCCCTGCAACCAGTATGGATGGGACAAGGCCCTAGACTAGCTCAATAGGACATGAACTGGCAGGGTGGTGTGGGGCTCAGTCCTGGCCCACTACTCTCTGTGTCTCCAACTCTTTCCTGGATGTCCACAGTTCCTCAGAACCAAAACATCCACAGCCAAGTATAGCATCACATCTCCTTTGCTTCCTGCAGCCACACTCAGGTCAGGATCCCATCTTGCACTCTGAACTGCCTAGAGAGCAATGATGTGCTCGGTAATTCATCTTTGACAGGAAAATCAGGCAGGGCAGGCACCTGTACTTGTTTTGCCCACTGTTGTTCCTTGGCCCCTCACAGAACAAGGCAGGTGAGACACTGGCATCTGGCTCTGCAGTTCCCTCTGGACTGGAGCCTCCAGAGGAGTATGAAGAGACTGGAAGAGGAAGTGGAGTGGCCACTTGCCCTTGTAGGGTCTGGGGGGTGGTAGGTGGTTGAGGTCTGCCTTGTGACCCCACCTTGTGTACCAGGGAAGGGTAGTAACTGACACTCTAGTGTAAGGGATACAAACAGGCCACAGGCCCTTCTCCAGTGGAACTCCCTCCCTTCCCCCAATCAATTGCCCTTCCCCTCTTCCTGAAGTCTATGTAGAAGGTCCAAAGATCCCCTGAATCTCTCACCTAACCCTAGCTCAGGCCTGCCCAACTTGGTACATGTACTACCCACTGTTCTAGAACATGCCCTAAATTTTAGAATTGTTTAACACCCATTTTACAGGATTGACTTTTCAGAATAGGTCTGTCAGAAATATGTCAGAATAGGCTTCATTCTGCTGTCCAACTCTAGGACCAATTCCATATGCTGGACACCAGTGTCTCAGGGCTGAGGATCATTCTCAATTCATCCAGAAATTTGTCCTGTCTGCAGTCCAGATTAACCAAAAGGATCCATCAGGCCACACCTCAAGTTGTGGGTGGTGAACCAGAGTCCAGGGCCTCCATATCTCCGTTATCCCCATCATATCAACAATAAGTAACCCAGAATTCAGAATAACTAACTTCCATAAAAGCCCAAAAGGTGTCCTTTTAAGAGCTGAGGGGCCCTTACCAGTAAACCCTGAAAAAGAACATCGCTTCCCCTACCCCAAGACTGAGGTCATTGTTGGGAACTGAACAAGGCTATCTCCAGCATCTTTTCAACTGTGTTCACAGGACATGGGTCCTGAGCACCCTTCCAGGAAGAACCAGCAGAGGACTCTTGGGACCCACCATCCCACCCAAGATGAGCGCCAGCCGCGCCCATCCCTAGTCCACTCAGAAGAAAATGAGAGCAGTTTAAAGGTTTGAACAATTTATTGTGCCCCACAAATGCCGATGGGATGAAGGGAAAAACCACGCAGTACCGCGCGATTGTTGCGTATCCAAAGGCTGGCGAGTGGGGAGCGGGAAAAGGAGGCCCAGTGGCTTTGGCCGCTGGCACCTAGGGGCGGGTAACCATAGCGACAGCCGTTGCCAAGGGTGAAGAGCCAATGGGGCGTCATCTGGGGAGTTTCAAAATCCGAAGCAAACACAAAAACAAAAAAAATACTACCACGGTGGGCGGGGGATGGGACAAAAGAAGGGGCCTTGGGCCCCTTGCTACACTCAGAGCGGGCGCAGCGGCCCGGGCCAGGGTAACCGTATAAAAACTACATACACTTAGGGGACAAAAACCAAACACCCGCCCAATCAGATCTGTGGGCTCACTTGCGGCCTTTTGGTACTTTAGGGACGCTGGGCTTTGCGGCCTTCTTCACTTTGCCCCCAGCTGCCGCAGCCTTCTTTGCCTTGCTACCTTTGTGCTTCTTAGAGGCGGTGCCCTTCTTGTGGGATCGCTTCTCGGGCTTCTGGTCCGAGCGCAGGGGACTCACCACGCTCGGGGCCGCCTTCTTGCCTTTGTGTACGGCTGTGGTTGAGACCATGGTGGCCCCTGAGGCTCCGCGCCGCTCGCCGCCACCTTCGACCTTCTTGCGGTTGAGCTTAAAGGAGCCGTTGGCGCCGGTGCCCTTCACCTGCAGGAGCGTGTCGTTCTGCACCAGGGCCTTGATGGAGTACTTCAGGTAGGTGCGCCCATTCTGTTGGTCGAACCACGCCACCTTCTTGGCTTCAGTGTAGATCTTCGCCAGAGAGGAGCCGTTGCGCTCGCCCAGCCGGCGAATTGTCTCCACTACCAGCTGACTATACTTGCCCGGCTGGTTTTTCTTCTTGTTCTTCCTCTTCTTGGAGGGGGGCAGCGCCGCCGAGCTGCTAACCCTGGCCGCCTTCTTGGCCGTCCCCTCAGCGGTTGTCAGCGGCAGGGCCTCCTCGAGCTCCACAGACATGGTAGCCAGCGGATTGGTGGCAGGCCGGGCGCGGAAGCCCGGTGGCCGCGCAGGGAAGAGGAAAGCCAGAGGCCGAGGGGAGTCCGGGGGGCTGGGGGCGCGCGGCGGCTCCAGGCGGGAGCGGCCGCGGCCGGGCCTGGAGCCTGGCGGCAGGGCTGAGGAGGGGGCCGGGCCTGAGCCGGACCGTAAGGAAGAAACCAGGCCGGAAGCGGGCCGCAGCGGAGAAGCCGCCCGAGGGAGCAGCCGCCACTGCTAACACTACCACTTCAGCGAGAGCTCTCTGGGCGTGCACGCTGCGCTGTAAAGAGAAAGAGGGCGCCTTGCTTCCCTTTTATGGCTCTGCAGCGGACCACGTTGAGAACAACAACAGCTTGGTCCGGAGCCAGCTCCAACTTGTGCTTTTTGGAGTCCCTTCCCGGGCCACTGGCTTCCGGGACCTCGCCTCACCGGCCTCACTGCGCTCGCTCGCAGCAGTCCCTAGGCAGAGTCCAAGCCCTAGTAGCAGCGAAGAGGCAGTCTGTTCCTGGGCATTGGGGAACGGAGAGGGTGTAGAACCCTTCTTAGGTTGAAGAACGTGAGCGGCGGGGTGGGGGTGGGGGGGCTGCTTTGGAGATGAATAGGGTAGGCCCCCAGAGGAAGCTACACAGCTGAGCTTCGCAGCCCCAAGGCAAGAGTGCGCCAGGGGCACCTAAAGTCTGACCATGTCCAGGGAATTCTGGCCTGTCCACAGGACCAGCTTTAATCTGTCCGAACTAACACAGGGCACGCCCTCATGTGGTCGGCTGGGGCACGGTGACATAAGCTAGGACTTCTTCCAAGGGAACCTCCGCCCACCTCCAGCCACGAAACCGCGGTACTGAAGCACAGTGCCTCTCTGGGAAACATTTTCTTCTCGACCCCCAACCCCTACTTCTGATGGTCCAATTACCTTTGTGAGTAGCCCCCTCAAGCTAAATGGCGGATCTTGGGTGGAGCTGAGTGGGGGTGTGTAAGGCTGCTGGGGAGTTGCTTTTAGTTCCTGGCCCCTCCCCCCTTTCTAGGGAGGGAAATTCAGAGTAGGTTCTGGAGAGAGCCCTGGGATATCGGTCAAAGACCTGGTGCATGTGAGCTTTGCTGCACCCAGTACTGAGGGTGCGAAAGAGGCGTGTGCCTCAGTCTTAAAGCCAAAGCAGCTTCCACTTTGGGAAAGCTGAGACCATGGGAAGAGACTGGGGAGAAAAGCTGACACCTTTGGAGTAAGTGATTTAAGGCCCTGAACCACGGCAGAAGTGTAAAAAAGAAACAGTCCTGGCCCTGGCTGGCGTAGCTCAGTGGATTGAGCGCGGGCCTGCGAACCATGCGAGCGCGATTTGATTCCCAGTCAGGGCACATGCCTGGGTTGCAGGCCAGTTCCCAGTAGGGGACACATGAGAGGCAACCATACATTGATGTTTCTCTCCTTCTCTTTCTCCTTCCCTTCCTCTCTCTCTGAAAATAAATTTAAAAAAAAGAAAAGAAAAGAAAAGAAACAGTCCTCTGAGCCCTGCCAGGGTGTGGCTCAGTGGATTGAGGAGGTGCCTATGAACCAAAGGGTCACTGGTTCGATTCCCAGCAGGGCACATGCCTGGGTTGCTGGGCCAGGGCCCCTAGTAGGGGGCACATGAAAAGCCACCACACAATGATGTTTCTCCTCCTCTCTTTTAAAAAAAGGAAAGAGTCCTCTGAGACCAAAGCATGGAGGAGGAGGGGTGGATAGGATTCCAGGGTGCAAAGAGCTGGAGGCTGTGGGGTCCCTAAAAGGTACGGGCATGTTTCGGGGCCTTCTGCCCCATCAGATTCCTCTAAGTGGGTGTGGTGGTGCCCTCTTGTGGACTCTCACCCTTTCATAGTGCTTGCACAGACCCCATTTGCCCTTGGAAGAGCTAATGAATAAACCCCAGAAGCTGGTCCACCAGAGGCTGGTAAAGGTGGAACTGCATGGGTTTTTTGAGGGGTAGTGGTGATTCAGGAGCATGGGTCCAAGAAAGGGCTTCTGCTGCCCAGGGCAGTGAGTACATACCAAGGAAAGATAGATAGTAGCCTAGATCTCTGCAAAGAAGGCCAATCTTCTCTCCCAGAAATGGGAGAAGCTCTAAGTGGAACTGTCTGCCCGGGTTTCTGAAATTGAGCTGAGCCCCGGAGGTGGCACTGGAGAGTGGGAAGGGTTTCTGCAGATACTGAACTGCTTGAGCAGACCTTGAATTCTGAAGTGCAAGGCGTGTGCTGGCTGGGGTTTGGGATCCAGGATTCACGGAGGATGTGAAAGAAGAGACAAGATGAAGAAGAGACAAGGTGCAGATGCCATGACCCATGGATAAGTTTCTGCCCAGGAGCAGGAGCCTTTCAAAAATGAGCAGAGGGGACTTCCGCCAAGATGGAGGTATAGGTGGATGTGCCGTGCCTTCTCACACAACCAAGTTTAGGGACAACTAAATATTAGCAACAGAAAACACAGCCAGAACACGGAAAATTGAACTTTTCGGAAGTCCGTTAACAACAAATTCTTCAGCCTGACCAGTAAGGGGCGAAACCAGCGGCTGGTGAAGCGGGATTGCACAGGAGGACTCGGTCAGACGGACTCAGGCGCGGAATCCAGACGCACAGAATCCAGGCACAGGGTTGGACCTAGTGAGCGACCGAGAGAGCCACCAGGTGAGCGACCGCGGAGGAGACAGCGGCGAAGTGGTGCTGCGTGTTGACTGTGGTCACCCATTTGCGCGAGCGGACAGGCGAGGGAGTGGGCAGTTGGACCGGGGCCCTGCGGGTCCCCGAGGGTCCCCGCGGCAAGCAGCATTGAAGGGCGCCGCCATTTCCCCGCTCTGACCACGCCCCCACATACAGAGTCACAACCCAGCGACCTGGGAGTCCAAGGCACCGCTTCTCACACTTAAACGGCCAGAACAGACCAAAAATGTCGCAAGTTCTCCAAGTCCCTGAGCCCATAGATCTAAGCGATGAAGAAATAGCAAAACTCTCAGACACACAGTTTAAAACACTGGTCATCAGGATCCTCACAGAACTGGTTGATTATAGCCACAAATTAGACAAATATATGAAGGCGAAACTAATTGAAATGAATGGAATTGCACAGGACACCAATAGCAATGAAAAGGAAACTGGGACTCAAATCAATGGAGTGGACCAGAAGAAAGCAAATAATGGCCAAACAGAAAAGAGTCAAGAAGCAAGAATTCAAAGAAATGAGGAGAGTCTTAGGAACCTCCAGGACATCTTTAAACGCTCCAACATCCGAATTATAGGGGTAACAGAAGGGGGAAAGGCACAGCCACCAGTGGAAAACTTATTTGAACAAATAATAAAGGAGAACTTCCCCAATCTGGCAAAGGAAATAGACTTCCAGGAAATCCAGGAAGCTCAGAGAGTCCCAAAGAAGTTGGACCCAAGAAGGAACACACCAAGGCACATCAGAATTACATTAGCCAAAATTAAAATGAAGGAGAGAATCCTAGAAGCAGCAAGAGCTAAGGGGACAGTCACCTACAAAGGAGTCCCCATCAGACTGTCAGCAGATTTCTCAAAAGAGACCTTACAGGCAAGAAGGGGCTGGAAAGAGGTATTCCAAGTCATGAAATCCAAAGACCTACAACCAAGATTGCTCTATCCAGCAAAACTTTCATTTAGAATGGAAGGACAGATAAGGTGCTTCTCAGATAAGATCAAATTCAAGGAGTTCATCATCACCAAGCCCTTATTATATGAAATGTTAAAGGGACTTATCTAAGAAAAAGAAGTTAAAGAAACATGAACAGTGAAAGGACAACAAACTCACAGTTATTAACAACCACACCTAAAACGAAAGCAAACTAAAAGGACAGCTAGATCAGGAGTGGAAACATAGAAATGAAGATCTCAGGGAGGGTTAGCAACAGGGGAGTGGGAGGAGGAGAAGGGGGGAGAAGGTACAGAAAATAAGTAGCATAGACAGTAGATAGAAAATAGATGGGGGGCAAGAATAGCATGGGAAATATAGAATCTAAAGGACTTGAGACACATGGTCATAAACTAAAGGGGGGGTAATGGTGGGGATGGGGGGGTAGGGTGGAGGGGAATGAAGGGGGGAATAGAACAACTGTAACAGCATAATCAATAAAAAAATAAAAAAAATTTTTAAAATTTAAAAAAGTATTTAAGGGGGAAAAAAATGAGCAGAGGGCACAGTGGGGAGGTGCATGATGATCCTCTCTGGGTGGACCAGAGTACCTAGAGATGGGATGCAAACAGGGACACCTAGAAGGGAGCTGGCCTGAGGAAACCAGGTGGAGAGGAGGTAGCCAGATAACTGGATGAGAGGGGCTGTAACATACCCCAATGCGAGCAAAAATGTTGGAAGCTTTCAGGAGTTTAAGATGGAACTTTATTGGCCAAAGTTTCAGAGTTTTAACTGAGCAGGGGCGAACTCTCGGGGTGTCCAGGGACATGGTGCCAAAATGGCTGTAGATGAGAGGCGCGCCTGGCGCTTACAGCCTGAGGTTTTTATTGGGGTGAGCAAGCAAGCAAATACAGAAGCAGACGTAGCTGTTAGCAATTGGCTATCTCGAGAGAACACATATGGCTATGTTCTCTGCTTGCAACAATGGATACTTTTCTGCAAGGACAAGGTCATGCACAAGGTGGTTTATCTTGTTCAGCACTCTTTGTACTTTCTGTACTTCCTATCTTCCTTGCTGAGATAGTCTGGAGCCTGCCTCGGGTTCCTTTTGGCTACTTTTATCTAATTCCAGCCCTAACATTCCCCCCTTCTCTTGGTTATGAATCAAACCTTCGATTCGATCTCGTCCCCAGGTAATATGGTGTGTGGCTGGGACAAGACCATTAGTTTGACTACTTCTACCCATTCTCTGATGAAGGCGAGGATCTTGTTGAGTATTATGGGTCCAATAGTTAACAATAACAATAATATTAGCAGTGGCCCAGCTATGGCTGAGAGTAGGGTGGTCTGCAAGGGGGAGGTTCTGAACATTGAGGCATACTAGCTGGAGTCATTGTCTCTTATTACTCCTGAATGGTTGGCATGAAAACAGCATTCTTCTCTTAGTGCTGCACAAAGTCCCCCTTGCTATTACCTATAATTCCAGTGTTATTATTGTAAAAGAGCAGTCAGAAACCAAGTTTTTCAACCTAAAATACTTTCATGTCTTTGCTCCCTACTCACACTGTCCTGACTCCGGGTACTGTAAATCAAGAAAGATTACACATCTGTGTTTCAGGTTGCTGGCACTGTCAGCTGTATCAGGCAGGATCTCTAGTTAATCCAAAGTTAGGTGGCATTCTCTTACGGTCTACTGGCAAGAGTTCTTCTGTAACAAATTCTAGTCAAAGTCTCTCTTGTTTTCCAGGCCCCACGCAGCCAATGGGGGCACCCAAAGCCGTGTGGGCTTCTTCTATTAAAGCTGCAGGGGTCGTCACTCTGCCCTAAACCATGTGGCTCCCTCTTTCACCTGGGTAGTTATCCCCTCATGTCCTGGAGATGATCTTTTCTAAGTTCTTATACAAGCCTCCCCCCTTAGGGGCTGTGCTCCTAG